TGTGATTCTTGGATGACCCTAGATGTGCCAGGCTCGTGCAGTCTAGTCTCCCTATCACCTAGTAATGAAGGTCTTAACAGAGTATGGAGTTGGAGTAGTACAAGGATGCCAGCGTAGCTCTTAAGAATGATTACTCAAAACAGTTAGAATTGGGAAAAAGGATGTGCAACTTAACCCACGTATTGCTATGTCGGAGTGTTACTCAATCCAACAAACAGCTGTACCATCACAGGTGGAGGATCACGGAACCTCCAGTCTCCCACCACTCAGCAGCAAGACACGAGAGCTGGTCCTAAACAAGGCAGATCCCACTAAGACCATTCATATCGGCGTCTCTCTTCATGACACATTGCTAGCCGAGGTTAGTGCCTTGCTATGAGAATTACGCGATATATTCGCTTGGTCTCCCACGGACATGACGGGAGTCCCTCGAGAGGTTATGGAGCACAAGTTAAATGTCGAGCCGAACGTCAAAGCTGTGTAGCAGAAGAAGAGGATATTTGCTCGTGAACGTAATGACATCATCAACAAGGAAACAATGAAATTAGTCCGTGCCAACATACTCCGAGAAGTTCTGTGGTCTACTTGGTTGGCCAACCCAGTCTTACTGCGGAAACTTGATAATTCTTGGCGCATGTGCCAAGATTACACTGACCTCAACAAGCATTGTCCCAAATATTATTACCCCTTACCAGTCGTAGCCCTTACCAGTCATAGATCAGATGGTCGAAGGTATTGCTGGATATAGAACTCTCACTATCAGATCCTCATGGCACGAGAGGATGCAGAGAAGGTAGCTTATATTACCGAGATTAGGGTTTATTGCTATGAAAAGATGCCATTTGGACTGAAAAATGCAGAAGCAACTTATCAGCGTCTCGGGAATAGAACTTTTCATGATCAGATTGGCCGAAACATCGAGATTTACATGGATGACATGGTGATAAAGACTAACAAAGATGAGCAAGTTGCCGTTGATATGCAAGAGATCTTCACGATCTTACGCAAAATTAACATAAACTTGAACCCTAAGAAATGTACTTTCTGTGTCTGGTCAGGAAAATTCCTAGGATATCAGGTGTCCAAGGATGGAATTAGTGTTGACCCGGCAAAAATTGAGGCAATTTTAGCCATGGAAGCGCCAAAAATTGTCAAAGAAGTTCAAAAGCTCACAGGCTCCTTGGCTGCTCTAAACAGATTCCTTTCTTGAGCTGCTGAAAGAAGCCTTCCATTCTTCCATACACTCCGCAAAGGTAGGAAATTCGAATGGAACGAGGAGTGCCAGAAAGCCTTCCAGGACCTGAAGGAACACCTTAACTAGTTGCCCATGTTAGCTAAACAAGAACCGGGGGAAACTTTTATATGTCTATATGGCAGCTCGAAAGAAAGCCATCTTGGCCGTACTCGTGCAACGGAAAGATGGCAAGGATATCCTGGTCTACTTTGTCAGTAAAGTTTTACAAGGGGCAAAAACCCACTATACACCCATGGAAAGACTCATCCTCAGCCTGGTCTTAGCTGCTCGATGCCTGCATCAATACTTCTAGGTGTACCCCATCATGGTTTTGACGGAGCAAACCATCCAACAAGTCCTGCTCAAGCCAGAGGCTTTTGATAGAATGATGAAGTGGGAAAGCAAATTAGGGGAACACCACATCGAGTACAAACCACGAGCGGCAATCAAAGGACAAGCCTTTGCAGATTTCTTGGTAGAAATGCCTCGATCTGTCGATGTCCCAGAACCTGTGAAACCCATGGATGTTCCTGCTACTCGCGTCAGCATCAACCATTGAGCTTGGATACTATACGTCGACGAGTCCTGTTATGATGAGGAGGGAGGAGCCGGTATTATATTGGCCAAACCATCAGCTGATCCCGACATTGAGAGCATGAAGGAGTGTGATGCAGAGTATACATATGCTTTAAGGTTTGGATTCCCAGTTACTAACAACGTGGGCGAGTATGAAGCATTAGTAGTAGGACTGAATATGGTACTAAAGCTCGGGGTTTATAGAATTCAAGTTTTTAGTGACTCTCAGGTAGTGGTGAAGCAAATCTTGGGCGAGTATACAGCAAATGATGAGCAACTCAAGCAATATCTAGAGAAAGTTCCCGATATGAAGGACAAGTTCAAAGAATGCACCATATCCCACATAGTCCGATCGAAAAGTAAAAGGGCAGACGCCTTTATTAAGTTGGCATCCTCAAACTTTGCACACCTCAGTCACAAATTGTGGGTCGAGATTCTCCCCGAGCCTAGTATCCAGAAAACTTCTGTAATGCCTATCGCCAAGGATAGAGACACACGGATGACCCCGTTCATCCGATATCTTACGGATGATACATTACCAGGGGGAAGAGCAGATGCACTAGCCCTCCAGTTAAAGGCGGTTAAATACATGCCAAAAGATGGTATCTTGTATAAGCACGGGTAGCTACTACCCATGCTGAGATGTATTGGCCCAAAGCAAGCAGCTTACATCCTCGAATAAATACACGAGGGGTCATGTGGAGCATATATGGGGACGAGAGCACTTGCTAAGAAGGTCCAGCATTCAGGGTATTTCTGGCCAACGATCTTCAAGGACGCATACCAGTTTGTACAAAAGTGCGATAAATGTCAATGCTTTTCTCCTATCACTCGACAGCCGCACCACAGGATTGTCATCATCCAAAGCCCTTGGCCCTTTTACCAATGGGGCATTGACATTATCGGCCCTTTCATCCAAAAGGGGCAGGAGGAGTAAGATGGGTAATCGTAGCAATAGATTACTTTACTAAATGAGTAGAAGCTAAACCGTTGGCCTCGATAATAGGAAGGAAGGTGTTGGATTTTTTCTGGCAAAATATCGTATGCCGCTTTGGAGTCCCAAGCGTTGTCGTCTCTGACAATGGGACCCAATTCAAGAGTAATCCCTAAAAGTCGTGGCGTGAGGAAATGCAAATTAAGCGTCATTTCTCAAGCGTAGCTCATCTTCAAGCTAACGGTCAGGTAGAATCCATCAACAAAACCATCTTACATGGGATCAAGACCAGGTTGTATGACGCTAAAGGAACATGGGCTGACAAGCTTTCTCATGTCCTATGGTCATACCGTACTACCCCTCATTCCTTGACATACGAAACTCTGTACCGCTTAGTCTACAACATGGATGCAGTTCTCCCAGTTGAAATAGGCTTGTTCAGTTCTCAAACAATAAAATTTGTCGAGGGCACTAATGATGATGACATGGATGCAGTTCTCCGAGCTAAACCTCGGCCTGCTCAAGGAATGGCAAGACGCAGTCAGAATCCGAGAGGCAAAGTATAAGGAGAATTTGCGAAGGCATTATAATAAGAGAATAAAGGCCACAGATCTCGTGGTAGGCAATCTCTTGTTAAGAAAGAATGAAGCCAGTCGAGCAGAAACTCCTGGAAAACTCACAGCAAATTGGGAAGGGCCCTACAAAGTCATCCAGGCTTCCCCAGCAGGCAACTACCACTTACAAACCTTGGACGAGAACTATTCTCCCTCGATGGTGGAACATTCAGAACCTTCGCAGGTTCTATTTTTGAATCTTTGCTTAGTATTTGCTTATCCCAGCTATGTGCTTTATTTGCTTTATTTACTTTGTCAGTTTTATTTTCCCATAGGTAATGCTAACCTGGGTTCTCGGGTAGTTATTCATTAAAAGACATTACATATTCTTTTTCATTGTCGACATCTTATTCATGACTAGTCATCAAGATGGACTCCCTCCTTAGGGTCATCCTTATTAAAGAGCTGTGCATTCAACATCCAGACACAAGCTGAGGAATCCTCTTGGGTCCCACTGCAGGACGCAGTATTAAATCGAGGAATTCGTACATAATTCCGTCAACTGAGCCGTGTACTTTACATTGCAACAAGCGCTATACAAATTAAAAACGCGAGTTTCATGAAACCATACTACATTAGTTTCCTTCACAAAACTGTGCAAGGACGTAGAAAATATACATATTCTTCTACACTATTAGAAGAACTTCCCTGATAGGATTATCAGGAGAAGGACTAATAATCCCCTTAAACCCATGCTGACAAAGGAGATTTTACACATTGGTTCAGTTTATCTTTCAGATCTACAATCTCTTCATCTCTTGGGCAGTTCTTCTCGGGAACTACGGGTTCGAGGATCGGCAACTGCTTCAGGCTTCTCGAAGAATGGGAAGTCAATCTGGTGGTCTAATAGTAAGTTCTGCTGGTCACTGATATATCCCATGAGAAGCTCGACCTTCTAAACTCTCCCCTTCAATATATCCATCGCTGCAATGCCTACGAGTTCTTATGGAAATCATGTGATGTGCTCGAGCCAACACGTGGTATTTCTCGAGAAACCATGGCGATACGGTGGTCTTTTGACCTTGTCTTAGCTGGGTATTTTCCTTCTGTAGGGCAACAAGTTCGTCATGAATATCAGCCTCGAATGTCAAGGAATCCCCAAAATCTTTGTCTTTTTGGAAATCTCATCGTTGCATCTCCCCATGAAGCTCTTTGATTTCGTTAATCAAATGTTGGTTGACTCTCACGTTATGTGCCCACATCACGTCGAGGAGGTCAACCTCCAGCTTTTTTACTGTCTCGATGCTGTGAATCTCTGCACGACCCCTCATGATACCACTAATCATGGAGTATAGGGAGAATTCTTTTGCCTATTCTTCTGACAACACCATGAGATGAACACGATGAACAGACCAACCATCCTGTTCCAACAGAGTAGGAAACATTTGCATTAAGTCGAAAGAAGGTAAAAGGAGCAATATCCATTGACGAAAAAATGGAAATGACAATTCGACATAATATTCTTAAGTTTAAAATCCTAACAACTATTACAAGAAGAGAAGGTTCATACAGCATCTTGATCAAGCGATGTATCCTTGGATTGAAAAGTCTCCCCAGCCTTTTTCTGTACCCCAGAATGACTAGTGTCAGCTACATCCTCATCAGCAGCTTCATCATCAGCATCTTCAAGCTTGATCCCCATTTATTCGTCTAGCACATCAGGGATGGACTCCTCTCCACTTGGGCCCTTGGCAAAAATTGTGGAGGCATCTCCAGGGAACGACACAATGTCCGAGGGAGAGTTCATTTTAGCCATGGCTCCCGTCAGGGCTTCCCATAGGGGCAGTTGCTCGATGCTGAGCTTGGTCAAGACCTTCACCATTGCCTCGTGCATGGTTTTCTTTGGCTCCGGAATTAGAAGTTGGTTGAACCATTTGGCCTTGATAGGTCTATCATCCCTAAGCCTCTTAAGGCCTGCCACGGCAACTCGGTGTGCGCCGCATTTAGGGACAACTAGGTTCACCTCCTCGATGGCTGCTGCCACTACATCATCCTGTACATGAAGGCAACACACCACTTGTGCAGGTCCTCCTTCGAAATGTGTAGGCTGGCATAACCATTATGTTGCTCCTCGAGCTCAGTGTACTTAAACAAACAAGTACAAATGATTAGTACCTTTCTTTTCTTCAATAGGGGTTTCAAGAGGAGCCTCGAGTGGAATCTCGACAAGGTTCTCTTTCTCCTCTTCCTCAACAGGGATGACGGGAGTAAAATATTGTAACGTATCCCATCTCACAAGCTTGGAAAACTTTTCGAGCTTCTTCAAGTCCTCATCGAATTCCTGGATCATTTGCTCATCTTTATCCGACCATTCATCCTTTATCACCTCATATCCATTGATCTCTCAAGAATTCTAGGCGATGGGTATTTCTCCGGTGCTATTACATAGAGAAAGTTTGGCTTCCATATGGGGGAACCACCATACCCCTCTACTATCTTCCTAGAACCAGAAGCCAGGTTTCTCTTTACTATATGGCAGTCTTGGAAACTTGTCGACGGTGTGGAGACTCTAAGGAAATATCTCCACAAGAATAGTCACGGCTTCACCTTTACTCGTTGACAAATTTTCACAAATCCGAGAACGTAGGTAATCAAGTTCGGGGTGAAGCGTGCTCAGGGGATTTTATAATAATCGACGATCTCCTCAAACAAAGGAAAAAAGGAGAATCTCATGCCTAAGAAGATAAACCTATCATATATGGTGATTTTTCCTTCTGGAGGAGTATTGGCTCACTCTTTTCTTTGGGGGGCTCTAGCTTCTAGATCTAGGGGCAGATCGTATTTGGTTTTCACAGAGTTTACCTTCTCGACGCTATCTATGGGGGTTGCAGAGTCGTCAATTGATTTCTGGTTTGGATCTCTAGCCATGATTATCTATTTGCAGAAAAATAGAGATTTACTTGAGCACGCCAATTGTGCAGGTCCTCCTTCAAAATGTGTAGGCTGGCATAACCTTTATGTTGCTTCTCGAGCTCGTTGTACTTAACCTGCACGGCAACCAATTCCTGCTCCATGGCCAATACTTACCTCGACTTTTCTTCCAGAACGATCTTCTCGTTCAAGGCCTTATCTCGTTCAGCTTGTGCTAGGACCAACTCTTCTTTCAAATTTCTTATGTGCATTAGGTTCACCATCGAGCACGCACTCATCTGTATACAGTCGAGGTGTTAAGAAGGGTTTCTCTAAACCATGATCACAAGCATGGGTAATCAATTACAATGGAAACCTTACCAGTCTTATGCTATCGGTTTCATTCAGCTTCGTGGCGAATTCCTCCAAAAAGGGACACTCGATTGTTGGTGGCTCACGAAACGTGTGGATTGCCACTGTAGGTTCTCCCTTAAACAGTTGGGGGGGGGGGACAATATTAGTGCCTCTCCGTCGTGAGGGTTTGCGCCGTTGTTGGCAGTGGAAGAGACATTTATCCTAGGCTCCAAGGGTGGAACCTAAGGTTCTTCAGCAATAAGGGGGTCAGTTTTCTCCAAATGTGCTGCACTCTCAGTCGAGGGCATGTCGGATTTTACCTTCTTGTTTTTCTCTTTCTCAGAGGCTTTGACGATTCGCCTTTTTTTCTTCTTTGGCCAGCACTGCAGTGGCGGTAACTTCCTCATCTGAATTTACAATGGGAAAGGGATCTTCATCACCAAATAATCGAGAGCCAGCATTGCTTGAGGACATGACCTAAAAACAAACAAGGAAGTACAACTGATTAGTACCTTTCTTTTCTTCAACAGGGATTTCGAGAGTAGCCTCGAGTGGAATCTCGACAAGGTTCTCTTTCTCCTCTTCCTCAACAGGAATGGCGGGAGTAAAATATTGTAACGTATCCCATCTCACAAGCTTGGAATACTTTTCGAGCTATTTCAAGTCCTCATCGAATTCCTGGATCTTTTCATCATCTTCATCCGTCCATTCATCCTTTATCACCTCATATCCATTGATCTCTTGATAATTCCAGGCGATGCGGTATTTCTCCGGTGCTATTACATGGAGAAAGTTTGGCTTCCATATGGGGGAACCACCATACCCCTCTACTATCTTCCTAGAACCAGAAGCCAGATTTCTCTTTACTATATAGCAGTCTTGGAAACTTGTCGAGGGTGTGGATACTCTAAGGAAATATCTCCACAAAAATAGTCACGGCTTTACCTTTACACGTTGACAGATTTTCAAAAATCCGAGAACATAGGTAATCAAGTTCGGGGTGAAGCGTGCTCAGGGGATTTTATAATAATCGACGATCTCCTCGAACAAAGGAAAAAGGGAGAATCTCATGCCTAAGAATATAAACCTATCATATATGGTGATTTTTCCTTCTGGAGGAGTATTGGCTCTCTCTTTCATTAGGGGGGCTCTAGCTTCTAGATCTACGGGCAGATCGTATTTGGTTTTCACAGAGTTTACCTTCTCGACACTATCTATGGGGGTTGCAGAGTCGTCAATTGATTTCTTGTTTGGATCTCTAGCCATGATTATCTATTTGCAGGAAAATAGAGATTTACTTGAGCACGCCAATTGTGCAGGTCCTCCTTCGAAATGTGTAGGCGGGCATAACCCTTATGTTGCTCCTCGAGCTCGTTCTACTTAACCTGCACAGAAACCAATTTCTGCTCTATGGCCAATACTTGCCTCGACTTTTCTTCTAGAACAATCTTCTCGTTTAAGGCTTGATCTCGTTCAGCTTGTGCTAGGACCAACTCTTCTTTCAACTTTCTTATGTGCATTAGGTTCAACATCGAGCACGCACTCAACTGTATACAATCGAGGTGTTAAGAAGGGTTTCTCTAAACCATGATCACAAGCATGGGTAATCAATTACAATGGAAACCTTACCAGTCTTATGCTATCGGTTTCATTCAGCTTCGTGGCGAATTCCTCCAACAAGGGACACTCGATTGTTGGTGGCTCACTAAACGTCTGGATTGCCATTTTAGATTCTCCCTTAAACAGTTGGGGGGGGGGCAATATTAGTGCCTCTCCATCAAGAGGGTTTGCGCTGTTGTTGGCAGTGGAAGAGACATTTGTCCAAGGCTCCAAGGGCAGAACCAGAGGTTCTTCAGAAATAGGGGGGACAGTTTTCTCCAACTGTGCTGGATTCTCAGTCGAGGGCATGTCGGATTTTGCCTTCTTGTTTTTCTCTTTTTCGGAGGCTTTGACGATTCGCCTCTTTTTCTTCTTCTGGCCAGCGACTGCAGTGACGGTAACATCCTCATCAGAATTTACAATGGGAAAGGGATCTTCATCACAAAATAATCGAGAGCCAGCATTGCTTGAAGACATGACCTAAAAACAAACAAGGAAGTACAAATGATTAGTACCTTTCTTTTCTTCAACAGGGGTTTCAAGAGGAGTCTCGAGTGGAATCTCGACAAGGATCTCTTTCTCCTCTTCCTCAACAGGAATGGCGGGAGTAAAATATTGTAACGTATCCCATCTCAAAAGCTTGGAAAACTTTTCGAGCTTCTTCAAGTCCTCATCGAATTCCTGGATCTTTTCGTCATCTTCATCCGTCCATTCGTCCTTTTTATCACCTTATATCCATTGATCTCTCCATAATTCCAGGCGATGCAGTATTTCTCCGGTGCTATTACATAGAGAAAGTTTGGCTTCCACATGGGGGAACCACCATACCCCTCTACTATCTTCCTTGAACCAGAAGCCATGTTTCTCTTTACTATATAGCAGTCTTGGAAACTTGTCGAGGGTGTGGACACTCTAAGGAAATATCTCCACAAGAATAGGCACAGCTTCACCTTTACTCGTTGACAGATTTTCACAAATCCGAGAACGTAGGTAACCAAGTTTGGGGTGAAGCGTGCTCAGGGGATTTTATAATAATCGACGATCTCCTCGAACAAAGGAAAAAGGGAGAATCTCATGCCTAAGAAGATAAACCTATCATATATGGTGATTTTTCCTTCTGGAGGAGTATTGGCTCTCTCTTTTCTTAGGGGGGCTCTAGCTTCTAGATCTACGGGCAGATCGTATTTGGTTTTCACAGAGTTTACCTTTTCGACGCTATCTATGGGGGTTGCAGAGTCGTCAATTGATTTCTGGTTTGGATCTCTAGCCATGATTATCTATTTGCAGGAAAATAGAGATTTACTTGAGCACGCCAATTGTGCAGATGCTCCTTCAAAATGTGTAGGCCTGAATAACCCTTATGTTACTCCTCGAGCTCGTTGTACTTAACCAGCACGGCAACCAATTCCTGCTCCATGGCCAATATTTGCCTCGACTTTTCTTCCAGAACAATCTTCTCGCTCAAGGCTTGATCTCGTTCAGCTTGTGTTAGGACCAACTCTTCTTTCAACTTTCTTATGTGCATTAGGTTCACCATCGAGCACACACTCATCTGTATACAGTCGAGGTGTTAAGAAGGGTTTCTCTAAACCATGATCACAAACATGGGTAATCAATTACAATGGAAACCTTACCAGTCTTATGCTATCGGTTTCATTCAGCTTCGTGGCGAATTCCTCCAACAAGGGACACTCGATTGTTGGTGGCTCACTAAACGTCTGGATTGCCATTTTAGATTCTCCCTTAAACAGTTGGGGGGGGGGCAATATTAGTGCCTCTCCATCAAGAGGGTTTGCGCTGTTGTTGGCAGTGGAAGAGACATTTGTCCAAGGCTCCAAGGGTGGAACCTGAGGTTCTTCAGAAATAGGGGGGACAGTTTTCTCCAACTGTGCTGGATTCTCAGTCGAGGGCATGTCGGATTTTGCCTTCTAGTTTTTCTCTTTTTTCGGAGGCTTTGAAGATACACCTCTTTTTCTTCTTCTGGCCAGCGACTGCAGTGGCGGTAACTTCCTCATCTGAATTTACAATGGGAAAGGGACCTTCATCACCAAATAATCAAGAGCCAGCATTGCTTGAAGACATGACCTAAAAACAAACAATGAAGTACAAATGATTAGTACCTTTCTTTTCTTCAACAGGGGTTTCAAGAGGAGACTCGATTGGAATCTCGACAAGGTTCTCTTTCTCCTCTTCCTCAACAGGAATGGCGGGAGTAAAATATTGTAACGTATCCCATCTCACAAGCTTGGAAAAATTTTCGAGCTTCTTCAAGTCCTCATCGAATTCCTGGATCTTTTCGTCATCTTCTTCCGTCCATTCGTCCTTTATCACCTCATATCCATTGATCTCTCGATAATTCCAGGCGATGCGGTATTTCTCCGGTGCTATTACATAGAGAAAGTTTGGCTTTCATATGAGGGAACCACCATACCCCTCTACTATCTTCCTAGAACCAAAAGCCAGGTTTCTCTTTACTATATAGCAGTCTTGTAAACTTGTCCAGGGTGTGGACACTCTAAAGAAATATCTCCACAAAAATAGGCATGGCTTCACCTTTACACGTTGACTGATTTTCACAAATCTGAGAACGTAGGTAATCAAGTTCGGGGTGAAGCGTGCTAAGGGGATTTTTTAATAATCGACGATCTCCTCGAACATAGGGAAAAGGGAGAATCTCATGCCTAAGAAGATAAACCTATCATATATGGTAATTTTTCCTTCTGGAGGAGTATTGGCTCTCTCTTTTCTTAAGGGGCTCTAGGTTCTTGATCTAAGGGCATATCGTATTAGGTTTTCACAGAGTTTACCTTCTCGACGATATCTATGGGGGTTGCAGAGTCGTCAATTGATTTCTGGCTTGGATCTCTAGCCATGATTATCTATTTGCAGGAAAATAGAGATTTACTTGAGCACGCCAATTGTGCAGGTCCTCCTTCGAAATGTGTAGGCGGGCATAACCCTTATGTTGCTCCTCGAGCTCGTTCTACTTAACCTGCACAGAAACCAATTTCTGCTCTATGGCCAATACTTGCCTCGACTTTTCTTCTAGAACAATCTTCTCGTTTAAGGCTTGATCTCGTTCAGCTTGTGCTAGGACCAACTCTTCTTTCAACTTTCTTATGTGCATTAGGTTCAACATCGAGCACGCACTCAACTGTATACAATCGAGGTGTTAAGAAGGGTTTCTCTAAACCATGATCACAAGCATGGGTAATCAATTACAATGGAAACCTTACCAGTCTTATGCTATCGGTTTCATTCAGCTTCGTGGCGAATTCCTCCAAAAAGGGACACTCGATTGTTGGTGGCTCACGAAACGTGTGGATTGCCACTGTAGGTTCTCCCTTAAACAGTTGGGGGGGGGGGACAATATTAGTGCCTCTCCGTCGTGAGGGTTTGCGCCGTTGTTGGCAGTGGAAGAGACATTTATCCTAGGCTCCAAGGGTGGAACCTAAGGTTCTTCAGCAATAAGGGGGTCAGTTTTCTCCAAATGTGCTGCACTCTCAGTCGAGGGCATGTCGGATTTTACCTTCTTGTTTTTCTCTTTCTCAGAGGCTTTGACGATTCGCCTTTTTTTCTTCTTTGGCCAGCACTGCAGTGGCGGTAACTTCCTCATCTGAATTTACAATGGGAAAGGGATCTTCATCACCAAATAATCGAGAGCCAGCATTGCTTGAGGACATGACCTAAAAACAAACAAGGAAGTACAACTGATTAGTACCTTTCTTTTCTTCAACAGGGATTTCGAGAGTAGCCTCGAGTGGAATCTCGACAAGGTTCTCTTTCTCCTCTTCCTCAACAGGAATGGCGGGAGTAAAATATTGTAACGTATCCCATCTCAAAAGCTTGGAAAACTTTTCGAGCTTCTTCAAGTCCTCATCGAATTCCTGGATCTTTTCGTCATCTTCTTCCGTCCATTCGTCCTTTATCACCTCATATCCATTGATCTCTCGATAATTCCAGGCGATGCGGTATTTCTCCGGTGCTATTACATAGAGAAAGTTTGGCTTTCATATGAGGGAACCACCATACCCCTCTACTATCTTCCTAGAACCAAAAGCCAGGTTTCTCTTTACTATATAGCAGTCTTGTAAACTTGTCCAGGGTGTGGACACTCTAAAGAAATATCTCCACAAAAATAGGCATGGCTTCACCTTTACACGTTGACAGATTTTCACAAATCTGAGAACGTAGGTAATCAAGTTCGGGGTGAAGCGTGCTAAGGGGATTTTTTAATAATCGACGATCTCCTCGAACATAGGGAAAAGGGAGAATCTCATGCCTAAGAAGATAAACCTATCATATATGGTAATTTTTCCTTCTGGAGGAGTATTGGCTCTCTCTTTTCTTAAGGGGCTCTAGGTTCTTGATCTAAGGGCATATCGTATTAGGTTTTCACAGAGTTTACCTTCTCGACGATATCTATGGGGGTTGCAGAGTCGTCAATTGATTTCTGGCTTGGATCTCTAGCCATGATTATCTATTTGCAGGAAAATAGAGATTTACGCTACAAATTCAACCGGGGAAATCTCAACTGAAATTTAAATAATCAGATCTGAGACCTTACTATTGAAAGGGGAAAAGACCACTCGCCTTTGGAGTTATAGCCTCCTAGTTTTCTCGCGATTCCTCAGTCATAGGTTTTCCAGTGATAACGTTACCGGAGCAGTGTATCGAATTGGGCTTGTGAATATTCCGGCAAATAGCAACTGAAGCACTTTGGTAGAGGATGGAGCCTTAATATTTTGGACAAAAATAAAGGGGATTGAGCTTTTGAGAGCTCTTTTGGTTATTTAAAGCCGGGGTTTAATCCTCCCACATTTCTGCGGTTACAGCCCACACTTTGACAGTTTGGGAGAGTTTCAAGGACTAATGGTGAAGCCGTCGTTTGGGGAACGTGTCTACTAATGGTTCATGGTTGAATGAATTGGGCGGGATTATAAAGCGGGTCACCTCCCTGGGTCATATCGTACCCAGTAGGTTATGCGTCAAGCTTCCTCGATGCAGTATAGGTCAAGACTAGCACGTTTAATTTGGGCATGCTTGATATATTGCTGGACAAGTCTTGTCCATTACCTTTGGGCCTAGTTCAAGTAAGTTTATCTTGTGTCAAGTATTGTTTATCTCGCACAAATAACACTTGACAGGGGCACTTGACGATCCCATATCCATTACTAACATTGGACCGGCTCATTAACCGCATAGGAAGTCCAACCAACTCTGATAAGGCGGTTTAGGTAACCCGAAACCTAGTAAAATTCGGTTATCTCCCAGGCACTTTCATGCCTATAAATAAGGTTGGTCACACCACTATACGGGTACGCAATCTCTAGCTTAACATACTACACATTCAGACGTTCTTAAAATCCTTTACTGACTTAAGCATCGGAGTGTCTACTCTCTGGAGATCCTCGAGGCTCTATTTTGCAGGAAACCCTAGCCGGAGTTCCACTGTTCGAGCGGCGGTGTAAAACTAAGCCTCGTCAAAACCCTTGCGCGGGTGCCTTAATTTTTCTTCTCTCTCGGGTGAAAAACATGCGTCTAAAACCACACATAAAAACCAAGGAAGCCAAGGCTTTATATAAGTCACGGCCAAACCAAAAAAACAAAACCAAATTGGACTTGGTTTTATTATTTTATTATTTTGTCAAATTTCCTTTTCTTTGTTGCTGGCCCAATTTGAGGGGAACCCGGGCCCAACATGGTGTTGCATCATGAGACAGCTTTGAAGCTTTTTGTACTAAGGAATGTATATTATGATAGTAAACGTTGCATCAAGCTGGAGGTTCATTTCTATCATCTCATGCATCTCGTTTTTGACACTGTCATTCATTCCGTCAATAGCTTCAATTTGCTTAATCATTCCCTTCTCCTTTTCTATTGCTGCCTTCAGTTTCCTCTCCAATTCAACGCCATTAACTTTACACGCAGATAGCTCGGCCCGAAGCCTCGGATTTTGAACCTCAAGATCACTTGTTCTCCTCTCCAGAAAATCGAGCGCATCACTCATTTTCCTTGATCACAAACCCATCTTCAACATGCTGTTTATGTGAGCATTCGCAATTTCTATCTTTTGCCGTTTCAAGAGCTCGGACAATAACTCTCGCCTCTTCTTTTTCTCTTCCACTTGCGCCTCAAGCTCCTTCACTTTCATTTCCAATCTCATTGCCAATTCTTCTGTTTTAGCATCAGGGCTTTTTCCCCACATAACCTCTTCAATCGGTTCATCAACACCTTCAGCAGGAACAACATTTTCGGCTGTTGATGAGGACTCTTGATGAGATGAAAGTTTTGAGTTTGATTCTTTAGGCTTTGACTTGTCTTCTCTCTTCTTGTTGTTGCTCTTTCCTTTCTTTGAACCTGCCATTTGTTTCAACTCTTCCTCACAGCCACAAGGCAATAGGGAATTGGAGAAAAAAAAAGTAACGAATTATGCATATCGAAGTAAATTTTGGAGAATTTTCTTCTTATGTTTTGTATCTTAATTAGTGCGGAAATTAAAATCTCCTGAATTAAATCATTAATTAGATACATAAATCATTCGGTGTTGATAATGTGAACTTATATCTTGTAAAAACATACAAATTAAAGCCTAGATAAATTTGATAAGAATAATGATTGGTACAAGGAAAAAATGACAAGTAAAAATTACAAGAAAATTATCTCACGCATCCATTTTTCATTTCATTTTTCCTTATACCTATCACTACTCATTTGATAAATTAAATTTTCATCAATTTTGACAAAACTTTCATTTTTGAAATAACTATAATTGAATTAGACACTAGAGAATTCAATTTCTTGACGAGTCAGGTAAGTTTTGGTGATAAAAAAGAATCCTAGATCTTCTACCATAAACGTACCTTGAGCATCTGGATCTCAAGCACACAAACCAGATAACATAGTAATTGACATTTTCATTTTTTTTTCAAACGTATCATTAATTAAAGTTAGAATCCAAAAAATAAAATTTAATAAAATAAAAAAATAAAAAGAAAGTAAGAGATACACCTGACCCACCAAATAACAATGAAATTGAGATATTGAGAAAGCTGTGGTTGTTGATTTAATTTAGTAAGATATATCCAAATCTCCGTAGTTTGTTTGGTTGGAATCTCACCGATACTTCTAGATTTTAGCTCGATTTGAATCGCCGTCGCTGAAAGTCATGCCCAAGAAAATCTCAGTAGCTATATTTACACACACACACCCACACACACAATAAAAATGTCCATTGATATAGATAATTAATTAAGTTTTCTAATAAAAAGTAAAACATTCAATGAAGAAAATCCAAATCGTCACCTTAGAAATTACCTGGATTAATTGTCTCCGTTGAGCTTGATTGAGGATGTTTTGAGGAAGAGGATCGATGAGATGAGCCTAAGAAGAAAGGTTTCAATTGGGTGAAGAATCAATTACATCGCCTCCACCGCTTGCAAGATAGACTCAGTTTGCATGTTGAAATGGGAGTGTATCACAACAGCTGTGCACATATTTAAGGTTGTGTGTGTGTGTGTGTGTTTTTTTTTTTTTGTCTGTGATGCACTGTATTTGTACTTATACTTTTTATTTCCTCAATGGGATTGAAAATTAAGGTATTCTTCAATAAAGGGACCAAAAATGATTCTATGAGTATTGCTATTTTGTTTTATTATATTTTGTAAGAGAAGTGATATTTAATTATTGTTTTGGAAAATAATCTAGAATACAAATAGTGTATTGAATGGTAAATCGCACAAATAAAACCCAAAAATAACATAAGCATTTAGAAAAGTTAATTTTGTGATAGATTATTTCCCGTCATTGACAGTAATTGGAGGGTAACAACTACTCTTTGAGCCTCTCATGGAGTAATTTTGATCGCTTACTCACATAACGTTGTAAAAATGAGGCTGCATGTTAATGATTTTGCCTTTTAGCACCAAATAAACACACACAAAAGCACCCCCGCAAACTCATTGGATGAGATTAGTCTGTTGAGTTTCCATCCCAAAATTATTTTTCAGTTCAGATTTTCTTATTTTTAGTACAATTTATACTAAAAATGAATATCAAAACTTGACAATCATTTCTAAATAGAGGATTCGGGCGAGTAATATCTTATGTAAGTTTATGAAGGAATTAGGGGTCATAGAGATGATTATTCCCTCTGTGAATTGTACGAAAAAATCATAGTAAGTGAAACACAATGATTTTCTTTTTCTCATTTTATGTTATATAGGAATCATGATTGAATACAATTTTGCCATTCGAATTCTCAATGCTAACTAGTGGAAGGCTATTAAGAGCGCTCCTAGGTGACAACATTACAAATCATGCACTGTACATCCAGATCTTGGTGGAACACATCAATTGTTTTAGCAATTTTATTGTATACTTTACATACTATTTGGTAAATTACTTATCCGCTTTACTTAGTTCATGACTAAAATTCCTGTTGTGGTATAGGTGTACCGACTACAACGCTATTAGTAATGATGGTGAGAGAATAACTTTATATTTTTGAAAAATAAATGTGTAAGATAGTGAAATAAGTATTTTCTCTCTTGTAGAGCGAGACATCAATGCGTGGTGCCAAAATTTCCTAGTAGGAAAAAAAGTTAAACAATTTCACAAAAATACATATACTAGATATTAAATCCGCATGATATGCGGGGTTTATTCATACATATTTATAGAGAAAACATTTCCAATTTAAGATATTTTAATCACCAATGAAAGATAATGGTTTTTATTACGATAATATGTGAGTAAAGAAATTAGGCTGTTGTCAAAAATAAAAATATGGCCAAGAATAATTGTTTTGCTCAGTGACTAATAAGGACACTAAAATATTCTTTACATTTGATGTTTATTATAGTGAATAATGAAATTAACATAAATTGTCTATTTCTCCTAAATGAGTAAAAGAAATGTGGCCAAAGAATAAATAAATAATAAACACAATTCATAAGCAATGTGTTTATTATGATAATATATGTGTAAAAGAAATTAGACTGTTATCCAAAATAAAAATGTGGCCAAAGAATAATAGTTTTCCTCAGTGACTAATAGAAACAACAAGATATTGTTTACATTTGATGTTCATATAGTGACTAATGAAATTAACATAAATTGTCTACATCTCCTATATGTTTTTGAATTCTTACTAACTTTTGAAAATTGTCAACAATGAAATCCCATAAATTGTCTAAATCTCATAAATTGTCAACAATGAAATCCCATCCTTCAAGAATATTTTTGAAATCTTAAGAGACCAAATACATCAATTGACTAATACGCCTTATTCAATAGACCAAATATTTTTCTTCCTAATGAAAAATATGCACACTACTCATATATGATATCATATATTTTCATATATGAGTAAAACAAATTTGAATGTTGTCCAAAATAAAAATGGGGCCTCAGTGACTAATAGAGGCAATAACATATTCTTTACATGAAATGCATACCGACTTTTGAACTCTTAAGTATTTGGTCTTGTGAATAAGGCGTCGGATGTGGACGAAATATTCTTGAAGGATGGGATTTCATTGTTGAGAATTTGATTTGAGACTTCTACAACCAAAGTAGTCATCTTTCATCCCTTAATACATATATATATGCTTATCTACTTGGACATGATCTTTAAATATATGTAAATTAATTGTATAAGTAGTTTGAATTATGACGTACTCCTTCCGGTCCTTAATATAAGGTAGTCATAAATTTTACCTAGTATATATTTTTAATTGATAAAAAAATCTTAAAAAATATATTTTCACATTCGTTGTGTTATCTTGTTTCTCAGGAAATATTTTTAAGATTTTTTGCCAATTAAAAATGCATACTAGATGAAACCTAGAACAAATCAAAATGACTTATATTAAGAACTAGAGGGAGTACTAAGTTTTGATCTGTGTCATTCATGTTTTAATAAGGACATGCACACTACATTTATGCTTCATAATAATATATGTTTTCAATGTATTATCATAATTTTTTAAATAAATAAAGAATTTCTTTTTTTAAGAGAACCAGGGCGGTACCTAGCGAGCATCCCCCCGATTTTATTAATTAAAAGGAAAAAATTACATAGTCAGTGCTTAAGACTTACCCATATTGAAGAAAACCGTCTTACAAAGATTTTCTAAAAATCCCATGACGGTTTCAATTTAAATTAAATCTAAGAACTGTCTTACAATGAGTTCCCTAAAAAAACTCGTGACAGTTCTGTTTTTATGGACTATTGAAAAATTACTAAATAACCGCTTTACAAAGATCATACAAGAATCTCACAGCAGGTTTCTAGTTTCAATCGATTAAACAAAGAGACTGTCTCACAAAGATCTTCTAAAAATCCCATGACAGCTCTCTAATCTATCCTCGAGCTACAAAACCCCATCCCGATTCTCCTGGACTTCCTAATACTGACCCATCAGTGTTGAAATGATCTCTTCAGATTCCGGTGGTATCCAACATAGTGAGGTGACCTTTTTCTCTTTCCTTCCTCTGACTTTAACATGAAAAGTTTCCTCTAGCTCGTGTACCTCAGCCAGGGTTCTTGCTCGTAACTCATGAATACTCAAAATCATTGAAACATTAGTGCAAATTTCATGAGTTATTGAGTCAAAAGAAAACAAACTACCTTCAAAAAAACACTTATTTCGTTCTTTCCAAATTTCCCATAGGATGAAGGCTGGAGTGATCATGATAACTGCTTTTTTTGCTGAGCGGTTTTCCTCTCCATGATTTCCATATAAGCAGTTGCTAGGGTGAAATCCCCCACCACTGATGGCTTCCATATGCGCCGATCCTCCTCCTAAGAAAAATTTGTATCCCTTTCTTCCAAAATTTGCAAAACCTGTGGCTGAAAAAAGTCATTGAACTCTTGCAGATAGAAAATTTTGTTAACAAAAAATTCTTTAACCTGCAAGTCCTTACATCCCGGATCACTTGGCCAATTAAGGGACCATAGAGGCCCTTGATCTAGCCATCCATCATACCAGAAAGAAACCTCCCCTTTTCCAAGCACAACTTTTGATCTCTCTTTCGTAAAATGATGAACCTTTAGAACCCTGCTCCAACTTGTCTTCTCTCTTGAAGTATTTGATAAAGAATTTACAAATCTCACCCAAATTCCTTTGTTACACTTCCATTTCAAACCAGAGCTTAAGCGAGAAAGTATCAACATTATCTTGAAACTTTCGCAATCCAATTCCATTTTCAGCTGTCGGAAAGGTAAGTGTTCTCTATGCTTTCCAATGCCTTTGCGTTATATCTTCATTCATCCCCCAAAGAAAATTCTGGCATCTTTTTTCCAAAGCTTCTAGGATCATTTTTGGTGGCTCAATTGCTGAGAAAGTATGCATAGGTATAGTA